GACCACCTTTTCTGGCAAATGGTGTTGGCAACTGGGGCTTCCCCCCCCCACCAGGCAGATTCCCAGGGGTTTGACCCCGCACTGTACGCGCCGTTACCAAAAAAGCACCAGCGAAGTGGAGCATGTGCGCAGCCGAGCGCTCGGTGCAACTGCCGAGTCATTAAGCTATCCACTCGCCTCCGGGCTGTTCACGCGCATACACATGCCAGAGCAGAAACAGAGCAGTTGCGTTATGAGTGTTGCAGGCACAGCAGATGACGTAACCCACTAAATTTCAGGGTCAAAAGCTGTGTGAGTACTTTAGCATGCATTTGATCTTGTTATTTTGAGTGGATTTTTTGACCGCAAAACGCGGTAATCAACTTGTCTGACCATAGAGCACCGAAGTTTTGGAACCGTAAGCAAAAGAACGCATATTTTGCCGTGTAGATGAACACCGAAAACAATCTTGTTAAATTTGAGGCACGTGGCAAGATGGTACGCTTTCGTGCAATATACTTTCTGCTAATGCGTAATTTAGAAACAGAACGGACAGAAATGTAACAGTTTTCGCAAAAATCCTAGCATACATTCGGCCACTCTTTGGTGTATTTGCAATCTTAGAACAGGGTCTACAAAAGCACATATAAACGCTAAACGATAAACGCTCCAGTATAAATAGAGGGGTGCGTTTTTTTCATAACCAGCCGAAAGGCAATCACTAATTTTCAAGACAAATCAAAAAGCGGCCAAAGTTTATCATTTTGCTTTGAGGTTACCTTCGAAAATGATAGCTTACGCAGATATTCGTCAGCTGATCATCTAATTAATTAAAGTATTTATTAGGGAGGTAACTTATTATAGAAAGTTTTTTTTCAATTGACCTTATGCATATTTATGTCGGACGTTTTTTGGAAGTTGATTTTCTCGACAATGAGTCTTCATTTTTGGGTAAGTCTACAAACATTATCCAGAGAGTCACTAATAAGGATAGTTTATGAGCATGACCATAGTAGCACATAATCTTATAAATCTGAAATGCGGCAACTGTGGTAATGTAGACATTATTTCTTTTGCATGTAACCATAACAAATATAAATAGCAATATATTTTAATATGAACCAGTCGTCATAACTATTGAACGGAAAGCTGAATTATACGTTCTACATAGTATATACATAGATTCTTAGATACAACAGATACTCAGAGCTAATAAAGGTTTTCTTTAGTTGCAACATTTGTTTTATCGACAAATGCATGTGCTATGTGCACATGTGATAAGAATAGCTTTAATTTATCGTCGGTTATGTAGAATTGAGCTCTAGGACATTGGGTTACTTTGTTGATACCGACAACCTATCCTCAGAGAGTCACCTTACAGGAATAAGTATCAGGCTATCTACTCCTCTTGAGGTAGTTCACGTACAAGTTGACCATCTATTTCGATGATGTTTACCATATGCTCCAAAGCCTGATGGTGTAAGGACAGTGACTTGCGTGTGGGTTAGTTTTAAGTGATAGTAGACTTGCGCGGTATCTACCACACCCTCTTCTCCCGCAGTCCCCTGAGCCCGGTGTTAAGAAAGAGTCAAGAAGACCGGAGCAGAATCTAGTGCAGTGGCTGACAGGACCAGCGAACCCATCTGCACGCGCCACAGCACGACCTGGTCCCTGTGACACATAC